AGGAGCTAGTGCAAAGGCTAAAGGTGGAGCAGTTGCAGGTAGAGCTTCTAAAAAAGGAAAGGTCACGCCTGCTAATGAAGCCGACAAGTTTCCAATGCCTGAGAAATGCTCAACTGATATGAAGAAGAGAGGAGAAGATGCAGAGTCTCAATATATTGGTAAACTTTACATTTTTATGCATGCTTGTGTACATTAACACAAATATGAGTTAATATTATAGTTTATTATTTGTCATTTTTAGACGATGAACCTGACCCTGGTCCAAATTCATACATTGTCATAACTGGTTATAATGACACAGAAGTTTTATCTCATTTGACACAAATTGGCGTAGCAGTTGATGTTCTCATTAAATTTAAATGCACTTTATCCTCTGATCATACGGATATAGAAACTGATGGTAAGCTTGATTTAGCATTTCATATTACATGTACTTTTGTATACTGTATTGAATGTGTACAGTACATGTGAATAAGCTTGTGGTTTAATTATCATTAGACAATGAAAATTTAAAAATTGAAGTTGCGAAGTTTTGGAGTAGTTTGGAGGAAACTATCTCCTCATCTGCTGCTAGTTCTAGCTTAAGAGACATAGCCATACTGGAAATGAACTGTAAATGTGAAGCTGAAATTGATGAGAAGGTACATTTGTACATGTAGTTAAATTAAATAACAATTTTTACTTACATGTACATCAATTGTGCATGCATCATATGGTGTTAAGAATAATTTTTGACACAATAATGTAATAAATTGCTTGTACGTAATTTACATGTACAGTACATGCATACATGTACATGTGTGCTAGTAAGTAGCAAAATTTCTCTTAACTTTAGGATTTTGGAGCGAAAATCTTTTCCCAACTTGCTATGGAAGCTTATAGTATTATAAATTATCAAAGGCAATACAGCTATTACTTGCAGTATCTTGATATGAAGAGTGTTCCATTCAGTTCAGTGAGTAGTCAAAGTGAATTATCTGATGCATCTTCCTGTATACCTGAAGGAGAAAAACTGAAGTAAATAGTTATACAATAAGATAATGATGTACATGTGCCCTTTATTATGAATATAGGCAAATTGACATGAGATACTACAAGGAGCAAATTGAAAAAATTCCTCCCGAGGTTTTGAATCCTTCAGCTATACTAAGCTGCATGCTTGATCAAGTAATACTATAATGCAGTACATCAGTTATGTACATGTACATGAGTATAAGGATTGGTGATTTAATTAAAGAATGGTTGCAACTTGTGCTTGTTTAATTTGTACTTTGGCATAAAAACATGTACTTGTACGTACATGTACATATTGTACATGTACATGTATTTACATGAAAATACAGCATAACATGCACATGTACATGTAGGTATTTAGTGTTTGAAGGTGATCCTGATTTACATGTAAAATGTAATTATGGCGCAATGCATGAATAATCCCACCCGATCTACGATGCTTAATGACACCACGTTAATTCTCTAAATCTTTCAGTTTCTAGTAATTTTTCTTGAAACAAAATGCTACACAATTCATAAAGTACATCTACATGCAGGTGGTCCATCTCGATGTACGTGTCTTTAATCCTTTTTTTAACTCTTACAACAAATCATCTATCGTAGCTTGCCACAGGAGAAATGAGAAGGAGAAAAGATGTCAATACAAAGAGAGGATATAATGTACATGTACATGTAACCTACATTGTAGCTTGAACATGGTTCATTGGCTCATCTGCTTCCACTTTTGATTGCTACTTGTCATCAAGACTGTCAATCCATTATTCTACAAGCTACATTTACATTGTATTCTAAGATGCTATCTTCTTCATTTTTGCTTTTAAGGAGCTCCGCTGTGTGTCTCAAAGGTGCATGCTCATCATCTATACTGTAGCTGTCATTCTTTCCACTCTCATGATCAAGCTCTCTTAGATGGGAGGGTAGAAACTAGAAAGAATGTAAAACGTTAAGGAGCTCCACTGTCCAGCCACGCCTTCCAGCCATACCCAATTGCATGCACAAGCATACAGATACTTCACATCAGTGGGCTTCGCCCAACTGAATACTGTATTCTTTGTGTTTTATTTAATTTTCAATTTTATTTAAAAAATTACATGTACATGTAGATGACAACTACTGTACATGTATGTCAATAATGTTACACAATCATGTACTTAATTTTCTCATTAATTTTTTCTTTTGTATTTTCATAGGTTGAGTTGTCATTGTCTAACAGTGATGTAGCTCCTTTGGATATGAACATGTTTCACCCAGAAACTCTTACTAATTTTAATGACATTTTGAAATCACTGCCATCTCTTGAAAATAATGAGGTACGGTACATTTTAATAAAATACATATGCAATGAACATGTACTTCATTTTCTATTTTGTTGTACATGTACAAGTACATTTTACATGCACATGCATGTACAGCAGTATGTATGCACTATATGTATCACTGTGCACTTTTCTACAGTACACTAATTATACATGTATGTATCACTGCAACAGTATGTGTATATTAATTTGCTAATAGCTTAATTTTTTTTATTCGTATATATTGTATTACAGTATTCTATGCATCTATACTTGTACAATGTACAAATGTACAGTGTTATAATTATGCTGTTGTACAGACACGGTGTAGAAAGTTATCCTCAGATTGTGTAAATAAAATACACATTACACAACTACAGATACTGTACATGTCCATATCTACATGTATATGAATGCTTGTTTCAGCAACAAAATTGTACTAAACACCACGTACTAAGCACTCCGTTGGTTTTATGGCATAGCTGATATTTTTATTTGTTTTATTATTGCAATTATTAATAGTCACAAATCTACATGAAAAATGTACAATTTTATTTATACATGTAATAGAATATGCCAGTTGTGATGTACATGAAAATGACATGCAAAGTTCCTCAAATTACATGAGAAACCATGCATGTTACATGTATATTTTAATTTTGTTTTGTGCATGTTATGCATCATAAAACACGAGAAATTTTTTGCATAAAGCTGATTGTTTTCAGGAAACATACATCAGAATCATGCACTTTAACTGTTTCAGAAAACAGGACGTGTTGGAATAAAGCATACATGTACATGTAGGTTGAATATCTTGTAATAATAGCAAATGATCATATAAAATGCTCCGTTTTTTTTGAAGTTGAAATTCAACATTTCGTAAGTTTACGACTATAGCATGAGTAAAAAATTTTCTAATTTTGTAAATGTCATATGAAACATGACTGAATGATTAATTTAGTTGTGGAAAATGTTACATTGTGTACATGTACATACATGTACATACATGTACATGTATTTGCATGTAAAATTCCTGAAGTGTCTTACACATGTAGCATGCTAAAAGTGGACATAATTTTTGTAGCTTTATGTACTGTACATGTACATGTACAAATGCATACATTTATGTGTATTATTATTGTCGTTTAGCAATGTAAAGAAATATTTACATTACTTGTCTAATTTTTGAAAACTTGTTTGTACATTAATTGTTGCCTGTACATACACATGTACATATATATGCACAGGTGTTTGTACATTGTTGCATGTACATACACATGTACATGTATATCTACATATACATGTATGTATCTGGGTTTTTAAAAAGGACATGTACATGTACATTTGTACATCTAGGGCAAGGATGCTATTACAGTATTTTTTATTGTTTTAGGAAGTACATGCATGTGGTTCTGTTGAAGTTATTCACGAGAAAGATCATGACCAACTTGCTTTTATTTGTTCTGCCAAGAAATTTCAATTAAAACATCATCCATCACTTCTTAATCTCTTCACTCCTCCGGTGTTGTCACCATCATTGAATTTGACCCTCCAGAAACAGTTTCAAGCTTTGAAGCAGTGCCTCTCAGCCATTCCTTCATTCCAAGTTGATTCTTTTATTCACATGTGTCTAGCGATTCTCTCAATGGAGCATGTAGCACCACCTAACACTGCAAAAGAAGTTCCTGTTAATCTGCTGGCAACCAACACCAGTCTTGTTTTTGATTTTCCTTTTGACATCCTATTGGAGCAAAAGGAGCTTAATGGAGCTTCTTTATCTGGTACTGAAGATTCATCTTCTTTCACTTCATCACCTCTAAAGCAGTTCTTCGACTTGTCTAATTACAAAGTAGTTGAACCACTTTCTAAAGATGTAATTTTACAAGTCATTGAAAAGCATTGGAAGACCCATCCATATTTGCAGATTTATCATCAGAAAATAACAAATTCCTTAGTTGTAGCAATGCATTCTGGGTATAGCAGAGAAGTGAGTAAATCGAATTGGCAGAGACATGTCCATTCTAAAGTGGGATTTAGTAATTTTCTTTCTTACATAGCTAATAGAGTAGGAGATATTGTAGAAGCTGCTGCTAAGGAAGATGCAAGAATAAAAAATGAAGCTGAAGAAACATTGCAGGAACACGAAGCATCTTTTAAGGAAAAGCAAGAAGCATCTGTTGGAACCCCTTTACCTGAGTCTAAAGCTTCATCGGCCAAAAGTGGCAGCAAGAAAAGTAATAATTCATCAGCTAAAACAAAACCAAATAGCACAGTTGTTGTGGATAGTAATCCTGAAAAAATCCCTTCACCATCCTTTGAAGAAAGAAAGCTTTTCACGGGCTATGATGTTGGTGATCAAGTATTGCTGTGCAATGGTAGCCATGCTAGTGGATTTACAATGGATGGAGTCAAGATTACAAGTGAACACATTCAGTTCACTCACAAGCCTGCCTCTCTTATAGTTTCAATGATACACAATGATGTAAGCCTCTCTGCTAGTTTTTCTATCAACTCTGAAATTACCACTGTAGCACCCGTAGCCAGCAGTCAAAACCCGAATAGTGATGCATTAATTGATGAAAGCAGTGTTCAATCCAATTTAATGAATTGCAATCCTATTACTCAGCCACCAGCCTCAATATTGTTTGGTGCCTTTAAAGGTCAATGTGGCAAAAATCTCAAATTTACGTTTAGTCAGTATGGTTCAAATGGCAATGGCGTTTTACCAGCATATCCAAAATCTGAATCTGAGTTACGAAAGCTACAACAGAGTCAAGTACCAGACTCAGCCCAATCATCACGCCCTACTTCCCAAGACAAAAAAGCATCAAAGAAGCAGCAAGAAGAGCAACAGCGACTATTAGAGCAGCAGGCTTTAGAAAGCAAAAACAGAGAAATATTGATGCAGAAAGTTCTTTCAGAAAAAAAGATATTGTATTCGGGTAACATGCATCAAAAGTTATGTGTTACTACTTCAAGTGATCTCTGTATCACATTTTCAACTATGGTACATAACATTCCTGATGACATTGAATCAACAGTTGTTCGCCAATATTATCCAACTAGTGTACCTCCTTCCTTAGCATCAGAGGTATCTCGTATCTATTTTGATGATGGTTGTGTCTTGAAAACCATGGGTAATGGCTGCCTTTCTATTCTATGTCATGATGGAAAAATTTACAACAGTGTACCCAGTTCAATAAAAGGTGTAACTAAGGATACAAGCGATTCTGGGAATAGAGTGTCATTTCATAATGTTCAGGATGTTATTGATCTAGACTCTTGGTTGGTAACTTTTCCGGATGGGAAGAGAGAAATTGTCAAAGTGAAAAAACATGAAGACAAAGGAGAAAATGCTGAAGATGATTCAATTCAGAACTCGCCTTCTGATAGTTTTTGCAGGAAACTGGAATCTCTACGTACATATGTTGTAATTGATCCAAAAACCAAAGATGTAGGTTCATGTACATGTACCCTTTATCTAATCTCATTAATTGTATTTTTGTCTATAGGTGCTAATGACAAGGGAAGATAATGTGTTGATACTAAAGAAGTCAAGTGGTTGTGTTGTTGTAGAACATGCTGATGGTACAAGGATCACTTCTACACCCACTTCTTTCACATTTCAGCATCCGTTCTTTGCAACTACGAGCTATGAGGGCATCAATTGTAAGCTTGATCTTCCTTCTTCAGATATCATTAGTTATTCAAATGCAAAATATGTTATTGATAATAATCTCAAAAAGTATTCCATCACAATTGATAATGATGGGAAAGTTCAATACAGTTTTGGTCAATCTGTGTATACCATGTATCACAATGGTACTGACAAGATTTTGTCAGCTACTGATTCAACTGGAGTGTCATATGATGTTGATGGTTTTGGACATATTAGTATAAATGGAAAAGGCTCTGGAAGTACTCCTAAAGAGTTTCTTCCGCATTTCTTTATGATTCAGGATAATGATAGTGGGTATGAAATTCACAATGCTTCAGTTGTTAAGGATATTGTTTGTAATGCTCGTCAGGAGAGTGAAACTTTGGTAGTTGAAAAAGAGCTTACAGAATGCCCAAATTGCTGTTCTACTCTACTATTGTCAACATTTTCAAATATGGAACAACACTTTTCCGAAGCTGAAAGTGTGATCCCAGATGCTTTTGTAGTGACGTTATGTAGTGACAATACGGAGGTAAATGGACTTGCTGGTAAAAAATTTGGTGTAAATGTTGGCAAGTCATTGGATGTAGGCAATAAGTCGATGAAGAAGTCTTGTCCTAAGCATAAGGAGCATAGTGGTTATAAGCAAAGGCAGTTTGTACACAGTAGTGACCCTGATCTGTTCAATGCATTCAAGACACAGTTATCTTTATTTTTGAAGTGGAAACACGACATATCGACAAAAAATGAAAGTGTTCTCCCAACTGTTCCTGATAAACAACAATCATCATTTGATGCACTGCTCTCTCCTGAGACACTTATGAAACACTACAGAAGTGTTTGGGAAGCTAGTTATGCAGCTGTGGCAATTGAAGATGAAGAAAGGTCCAATATTTCTATGTGCAAATCGAAAGCGAATAATGGTGAAGATACTCTTGAATTAAAAAGAAAGATTACAGGGAAACATTTTTTGCCTTACTTTGAGTCAAGATTTGGTTTAGAATTTCTCCAGTTTGTTTTTGGAAAAAATGAACAGTCAAGTAATATTATTCTGAAGCACACAGAGAATGCATGTACATCAGAAGTTTCTGACATTGTGCCTACTCATGCTGAAAGTAAAGTGCATGTGGCAGCAAAAATGAGTCATCCGGTAAGTGATGTACATTGTACGAATAGTACTTGTAATGTTTTTTTCCCAATAGTCTAATGTTATGAAAAGAAGAGTTTCATGTGGCTTTTGTATTACTCCGGAGAAGATAGACTTTGGAATAGTGAAGGAAGGGCATTGTTATTCTGCTCAATGTTCACTTAGAAATATGGGAATTACTGCCAATGGCTTTAATATAAGATCTTTAGCTGCTTCAACTGGAATAAAAGTGATATACACACCTAGCATTGTAAGTTAGTAATTACTAAAGAGTAATTACCTGTTTGCATGTACATGTACATGTATATGCATACCAGATTAATTTTTTAAATCGTAAATATTGTGAATATTTAGCAGAATCATTTTTGGTTTCGAGCCTATACTGCCAAGTGCTGATACATGTAGGAGCAAAATTTATGTTCATTAGGCAGCGAATCAAGATCACATACTTTATTATAGCAATTTCTTTCACAGGGCATATCTTTTTCATAAGCAGTTTGTTAATTTTTTTACACTGCAAATTTACCAGCTACATTGTATTACCATGTACATGTATTATTATACTGATAAATTGTTTTTTTAGGTGACTCCTGGAATGGCTGTTAATTTTACTGTTGAACTATTAGCTGTTACAGATAGAATTTGCTATGAAAATAAAAAATTGATGTTCTATCAAGAATTGGAAATTAAGACAGATACAGGAATGATTTATTTACCTATCGAAGCTTGTATTGTGTACACTGAAAAATGATTGTACATGTATACTATGATGGTTAATGACTAATGCATACATTACACAAACACTACCTGTACATGTACATGTAGATGTAGATGCACATTATTTTCAGTTTCAAAATAATTATATTAAACCTTACATAGGTACTTAAATAAAACTGCTTTTGTTATGACCTACAGTCTTTATGTCAGCACAATTTTACAGCTTATAAATGCATTTTTGCAAAACATTTATTGTATCAACAATGTGACAATGAACATGTACATGTACATGTAACTAATGTGCCTTATAATAATATTAAGATATAATGACAATGCAAAGAATGAATGACACACAACTCTAATCTCTAACATTGATTATGCATACACACCCACAAACTTGGATGCATTGGCTTATGGTAATATGTTATACTCATTAGGGTATACATTTGTTTTTGTAAGAGGACTGCGAATAATTTCTTGGTTGGTCCAATTTTTTCAAATCTTAATTGAGTCACAAAAAAATTGGAATCAGTGTGATTACAAAAACTATAATAAATTCAAAATATTACCCTATGTTACCTAATAAACACCTATGTCAGACTATAAGAGTTGAATAGGAGTGCCAATCAGTTATTATGCATGTGTCATTGTATGAATGATTATAATTGAGCAATTATACACTCTATAATAGAAAAAAGAAATCCTATTTAAAATTAGTATTCTTCACCATCATCTTCCTCTTGGTCATTGGAATCAGCACCCACCTCCTCATAATCTTTCTCAAGAGCAGCCAGATCTTCACGAGCTTCTGTAAACTCTCCTTCTTCCATTCCTTCGCCGACATACCAGTGAACAAAGGCTCTTTTGGCATACATAAGATCAAATTTGTGATCAAGCCTTGCCCATGCCTCAGCAATTGCAGTAGTGTTAGACAGCATGCAAACACTCCGGGTAACCTTGGCCAGATCACCACCAGGAACACAAGATGGAGCCTGATTATTAATACCAACTTTGAACCCTGTTGGACACCAGTCAACAAATTGAATGCTACGTTTTGTTTTGATGTTTGCAATAGCAGCTGTCACGTCCTTTGGAACAACATCACCTCGGTAAAGAAGACAACAAGCCATATACTTTCCATGACGAGGATCACACTTGACCATTTGATTTTTGGGTTCGAAGCAGGCAGTGGTGATGTCACCTATAGAGATTTGTTCATGAAAAGCTTTTTCAGCAGACATAATTGGAGCATATGTCACAAGAGGAAAATGGATCCTTGGATATGGAACGAGGTTTGTTTGAAATTCTGTGAGATCAACATTCAGGGAACCATCAAATCGAAGTGATGCTGTAACTGAAGAGACGACCTGAGAAATTATGCGATTGAGGTTAGTATAAGAAGGACGTTCAACATCCAAATTGCTACGACATATCTCATAAATAGCTTCGTTATCCATCATGAATGCACAATCAGAGTGCTCAAGAGTTGTGTGAGTAGTAAGGATTGTGTTGTATGGTTCTACAACAGCTGTAGCTACTTGAGGAGCAGGATAAATAGAAAACTCCAACTTAGATTTTTTGCCATAATCAACCGAGAGCCTCTCCATAAGCAGGGATGCAAATCCCGAGCCAGTGCCTCCGCCAAACGACCGGAAGATAAAAAACCCTTGCATGGAGGTACAATTCTCAGCTAGCTTGCGTACCTTGTCTAGTACATTATCAACCTGTTCTTTACCTACAGTGTAGTGTCCACGAGCATAATTGTTAGCGGCATCTTCTTTGCCAGTAATGAGTTGGTCTGGATGAAAAAGTTGACGATATGGGCCTGTCCGTATCTCGTCCACAACAGTTGATTCTAGGTCGGCAAAGACGGCTCTAGGTACATATTTCCCAGCTCCTGTGGTACTGAAAAAGGTACCAAAAGCTGCTTCCGCAATATTCACCCCTTCTTCCTTGACAGTTCCATTAGGAGAAATACCGTGCTCGAGACAATAAAGCTCCCAACACGAGTTGCCAATCTGAACACCAGCTTGACCTATATGAACTGATATCACCTCACGCATCTTTCTGCCTCAGTTTTTAAACTAGTGGCAACCAAATCTACAGCAACGAAGAGTTTGCTCGCACCACGATGAAAGCAGAAGCGCGCCAATAAGAATAGGTTTTCTTACGTCACTTCATGATCAGGTGATGTAGTGACTTGCCATAATGCATAAGAAAATTAAAATTGGCTTATTGGCCCTCCCAAATCCCCAACCCATCCCATTGATAGAGATTTTTTTTCCCAAAAAATAACTAACACAACTATCTAACTACTAAAATTCTACGATTCAAAATTGATTTTGTTTGTTGATCAAGCATTATTAGAGCAGAAAAATTCATTTAGTATTCTTCCTCTCCGGCTTCCTCCATGTCACCCGAATCTTTTCCAACTTCTTCATAATCCCTCTCCAAAGCGGCCATATCTTCACGAGCTTCTTGAAATTCACCTTCTTCCATTCCTTCCCCAACATACCAGTGAATGAAAGCTCTTTTGGAGTGCATCAAATCAAATTTGTGATTAAGCCGAGACCAAGCTTCAGCAATTGCTGTGGTATTTGAAAGCATGCAAACGCTTCTGTTAACTGGAGCCAGGTCAGCTCCAGGAACTTGTCCTGGAGCTTGATGGTTGATGCCAACTTTAAAACCAGTGGGGCACCAATCAACAAATTGGATAGTGCGCTTGGTCTTGATGTTGCTAATAGCAGATGTGACGTCTTTTGGTACAACATCTCCACGATAAAGAAGACAACAGGCCATATACTTGCCTTGACGTGGATCACATTTTACCATTTGGTTTACAGGTTCAAAACACTTTGTTGTCAGTTCACCAACAGAAAATTGCTCATGTGAGGCTTTTTCTGCCGACACTATCGGAGCATAGGTAACCAAGGGAAAATGAATGCGAGGATAGGGGACAAGATTCGTTTGAAATTCATTCAAGTCCACATTGAGAGATCCTTCAAAACGCAGGGAAGATGTGACAGAGGAGACAACTTGAGCAATCAGACGATTCAAGTTTTGGTAAGATGGTCGTTCAATGTCAAGGTTGCGCTTACAAATTTCATAGATGGCTTCATTGTCCATCATAAAGCCACAGTCACTGTGCTCTAATGAAGTGTGACTAGTAAGGACCGCATTGTAAGGCTCAACAACAGCAGTAGCAACCTGGGGAGCTGGATATATGGTAAACTCCAATTTAGACTTCTTTCCATATTCAACGGAGAGACGCTCTAAAAGTAAAGAAGCAAATCCCGAGCCAGTACCCCCACCGAACGAGCGGAAGACAAAGAACCCTTGCAAAGAATTGCACTGCTCCGTCAGCTTCCCTACCCTATCAACCACCTCGTCAATCTTCTCTCGTCCCACAGTGAAGTGACCCCTAGCAAAGTTGTTAGCAGCGTCCTCTTTGCCAGTCACCAATTGTTCCGGGTGAAAAAGCTGGCGATATTTCCCTGTACGAACCTCGTCCACAACACTTGGCTCTAGATCAACAAAGACGGCACGTGGAACATACTTTCCAGCCCCAGTAGGGTTAAAGAAGGTAGAAAAAGAATCTTCTTTGCTACTGCTTCCATCTGGTTTCTTTCCGTCAGGTTCTATGCCGTGTTCAATACAGTAGAGCTCCCAACAAGCGTTCCCAATCTGTACACCGGCTTGTCCAATGTGAAGAGAAATAACCTCACGCATAATGCCTTCTTTTAAAAGTTACTAAAGACACGAAAATACTGAAGACCGACTCACTAGTAATACAGCAAACCGACACAGGTAACGGGTTCTGTCTGCTGACTGGCGACAAAAGCACAGGTACGTGTCCCTTTATACAGAGGAAGTTTCATTTTGAGTAGGCTTATCCATAAAAATTAGTTGTTATTATTGTAAAATTTTATTGAGGCGTGGTTCTAAAATGGCTGCTTTCCTGAAGAAGTTTAGGAATAAAAGCAAGTCAGAAGAGACATCTGGAAGTGCTGAAGATGAATCATCTAAGAAGGATGAGTGTAAAGAATCACCAGTAAGTGAAAGAGAGCAGTGCTTTACTTCCTTTTTAAAGTTAAGCAAAAGGGTACCAGAAAGTCTCCCAACAAGCACTGAAGAGCGATCAGAAGAGCCACTTATTCATGAAGAAGGAAGTTTATTTAGTGGCTTGATGTTAACGAGAACTGTGCCGAAAGAAGAGTCTGTGGGGCAGGATTTAAGTAGGCTTTTTTTACATGTACCTGTTCATTAATGAAGATAACTTACATGTGGGATGGAGTGCTATAATTGTTGACGTTGAGATGTCTATACCACAGTTGACTATATCTGTTCTGCAAATAATTGTTTGTACTAGTTACATGTACATGTACATGTAATTGTACATAGTAGATTAACGTTGTAGTTATCACGAATATGTTTCGATTAAAAAATTAAGGCATGTTGAATATTGTAAGTTATTGATGTAGTTATGAAATTAGATTCACATCTGTTTTGTACATTACTCAGATTTTATTTATAGGTAACGATGAACGTAAAACAACAGATCGTAAGTTTATTATTTGACATACATGTAGTAATCTTTTGTATTAGAATGTAGCAATGATACGAGTCAATTAGGATTTTCATTTATTAAAGCTAGTAAAAAGGTTATGTCTAGTGATGCTGATGATGAAACGGAATCTCCGTTTAGCTTTATGAATAACAAATCATCTGAATCCAGTGCATTTGGCTTTATTTTGAATTCTCCTAAAGAAAGTGCAGCATCTTCGATTTCTATTACTTCTGTTACAAATGCGAGTAGTTACCTCTCTACTGATAATTCAACTTCACAAAAATCGTCAAGTAGTAAAGTTTCTCGGCAGCAACCGCCCAATTCTACCCGAAAGAAGAAACATAAAGCTATGAGGCCTGGCCAAGAACGTCTTGAAAATGAAGGATCATTACCCTTGGCTCTACTAGAATCTTCTGAAAATAATCCTATTGCTCAAGTTCATGAATCTTCAAGTGCAGATGTTGATTCTTCAGCAAGTGGTACTGCTGTATCACCTAATGACAACACTACATGTGAATCTTTGCCACAAAATGCAGACTCATTGCTACCTCACACTGCTCTTTTACATGTAGATGAATTGTTACCAGATGTACAAACTGTTCATCTTGAATCAATATCAGATGCTGCTACCATTGACGAAGCATTACAAGATGATCATGCTGCTGAGGAATCAGTACATGATGATATTGCTGCTGTTGATAATATAACATCTGATGATAGGGATGTTGACATTACAGCTCATGAGAAATTTTCAGCAAGTAAGGAAGTGCTAGTAGATGAGGATGGTTCGAACTCGTCAGTTGCCAAAAGAGAGAACTTATCAGATGCCAAAGGAGAGAACCTATCAGATGCCAAAGGGAAGCACTTATCAGATGCCAAAGAAGAGCACAAATTGTTTTCAGATATTAAAGAATCTTCAAAAAGAGATGTTACTGGAAGTGGATCTGTTGAAGCCTGTGAAATAAAATTGTCTAAAATAAAGTAAGCAGCATAAAAATTTGTATTTTAAAAAATTGTGTGGTTATTCAAAATTTTATGTCATTAGTGATGTAGCACTATTTGTGAGTAGGAGTGTTTTGTCAGTGTCTTTAGCATGTTGTTTTGTTATCCACTAATGGAATTGAGGTATTCTCAATTGTCTTATGAATGCTTGACTACAATCTCAGTCTCTGATGAGTCAGTCTATTAGAAGCAAGTGTGTAGTAATGAACAAGAGTTTATAATACGTGTAGTGTAATTGCTAATGCTATCTTAATTGATTACTTTCTTCATTCCTCCTCATTCATGTTCTTTACTTAGTATTCTGTTTTAGAAGTTGTAAACCTATAAGATTATGTCACAAACTATCCCAGCTGTTATACAAGTGTACATGTATTATGCCTAATACATGTACTTCATCTATTTTTGTGGGCACCTGTTCTTATTAGTTTATCCTTTTATGGTCATAATTTGGAAAGGAAATTGTGGTTGATAATATAAGTATTCTTGTACAAACTGTCTGGGAATACATGTACACCTGTGTAGGTTAGAATTTCTAATTTGTGGCTATTAGAGCTTCATGGTACAATTGTTGAGGTGTTACCTGACACTTTTGAATGTGATAATATTTACACATTTACGCTGACATTGTTAATATTTGCACCTTCTTTTAGATCAGAATTTAATCAACTCCACAAGGAGTGCTGTAAAACAGTTGAAAGTACAATAAATTCTCTTCAGATGCGTATTACAGTAAGTTGTTGTACTGTGAAAATATTCCCTTAAGTTTCATCATGCAGAGACGACAAGACATTCAGAACTTGAAGTTAAGAGTAGAAGAGGCTTTATCGAAAGAAAATTATGAATTAGGTATGCTGTAGGCTTCTAGATTTTACTAGTTTTGTACATGTCATTATTATCATTTTAGCTGAAGAATTGAATCAAGAGATAGAAGCTGCTGAAGCTGGAGAAGATATATCATTAAAAGATGCTCAATTATTTGTAATATTTGACATAAGAAGGCTGATTTTATTTTACTGGCAGGTAAAAGATTGGATTGAAAAGTGTAAGTCTGCCATGAGTAGTGAATTAGAACTGTCTGATGAACTTCATACTGAGTTGGTTAAGATCAAGGTATACATGTACACATGTACTTGTGCGTCATTCTTTTTCTATACTTTGTGTATGTAATTTAGGAAGAACAATCAAAAGACTTACAGTTTTTTGAACAAAGTTTTATGCAAAAGCATGCTAAGTAATGTGTTTTTTTGTTCATATTGCTTTCATGCTTATGTTTATAGGAATAAAATGGATCTTCAAACAATGGCTGATAAAGTTGAGAAAGAGAAAGGGTATGATTATAACAAATGCGTGTACATTGTTGTAGCTCCCAAAAATTTAGTACCATATATCCTTTTTTGAATTACATGTTTCTGAAAGACATGTATAAAAACATATGTATAAAGACATATGTACAGTACATGTATAGTTCAGTCATTTTGTATTTGTAATTGTATAGGCATTTGTTGCTGGATAAAGATCATCTAGACAAAAAGCAAATGATTCTTCAAGTACACACAATGTATTACTGACTTCACTATTATAATTAACCTGTAATTATTAATAGGATGAAGTATCTCAACGCGCTGCTGATTTTATAGCATGCAAAGAAAAACTTGAAAAGGATAAAGAAGAAGTTGATATTGAAATTGAATTACTTGAAGATAAATTGAAACAACTAAAGGAAAGGCAGCTGTAAGGTTACTGTATTTTAATTGTCTATTCTGGTGCTATGCTAATTAGGGAAATAATCAGTCTTATTTCTGAAGAAGACAAGAAAATAAAATTGGTGCACGAGGAGCTTTCATCAATGCAAGAAGATCTTGATAAGGAAAAGTGCTTGTTAAAGCAAGCCGAAGAAGATTTGGAACAGCAAGTGGTATGAAGTATACTGCTTTGATTTATAGCAAAAGTATGCCTTAATTGTTATTTTAGCTAATGTTTGAAGAGCTCCAGCTATCTTACAGCAATGCTAAAACTGAACATGACTCTGAGAAACAATGGTATACAATATGGTATAACAATGGATTGACTTTAATCTTTTGTAGTCTTTTGGATTTGGTGACAACTAGTAACGAAAGTTGTGTCAGTGTTCTTAATATGAAAGAACAGCTAAATTGTGCACTTCGTGAAGCTAGTCAATGGTCTTTAGAAGATATACCTAGCTATGTGCAGCCTTCAGAAAAACTTATTGGGTATGTATACTACTGTATGATATGATAAATGAAATTACTGATTGTGTATTGACGTGGGACTATGAGCTTATGCAATGTATTAAAATTTTGTAAACACAAATTGTTTTGTTGTAGGATGTTGCAAACTGAAAGAGCAACTGGTGACAAAATAAAATCTGTAACAGCTGAGGTGAGTGTGTGCATTATGTGATTTACTGTATCTGCATGTATTCTGTATGTGTTATGTATAATTGATGTAATTTGTACATGTTCAGTCTATCTGGAAATTTTTGATGTGATTTTAATTTCAATTTTGCAAAAATTAGGTCACGCATAATAATAACATGCCATATTCAATGATACATGACACAGTCTTATTTAGTAAAAATTAAATCATAGCACAGTTTTGAAACACAAAAATTTTTATAGCATAAATTTTGTGATTTACATACATGTATATGTTAGGTTGTATCACGGCAAAGTGAAGTGTCAACTCTTCATAAACATTTATGTGATGTAGAGTCACAACTTCCTAAAGTACAAGAATCAAAGAAAAATGCAGTCACAGGTTTGCTTATACATGTAAAATACCATTTTCTCTGAGTTACTGATGCTTTTCAAAGAGAGTGACTTAATTGTTTATGTTCTCATAGTCACCTTTGTCAAGAGTGCATAATTTTAGGGTTATTTAACATTTTAATGATTGAACAATTTTTACTTAAAAGTTAACATTGTATAATTGCATTGCTTGCATACCTACCTATGTACATGTACATGTACATGTACGTGTACATTGTATAAGTCAAATTACTCTGCATGTTGCCCCTTTTTACATTAGCTCGACAATATCGGGAAGCTTCTAAGCTTGCTGCAGAAGAAAAAGAATTTTTGTCAAAAATAGAAATGATAAAACAGAATATTGAGAAAGTTGATGCTGAATTGTCATCGAAAAACTCTCTCCTTTCTCAATTAAGTGGGGAGTTCAGTGCCCTCAAAGAGGAAAGGAGTGCCCTTGAGAAAGAAGAAGGTACATCATGTATTTATTCATGAAACCAACCAGCTCATTTTTTGTTTGTAGACATTGGTCACATTCAAGCATTGATACCAGCAGTAATGCAGCATAGAACGTTATTATCCAAGTTTGTTTATCTACCCTAATGACCCAATAATAACTCCTTTTTGAACGTATTTTGAATTTTTAAATGCATGTGTCCAGTTACGGAAAAGTTTTGACCTTGAAAAATGAAAACTACATATTCGTGTATAAAGTAATTATTCTTTGTTATGTAAATTTTAGGTTTCAAAGTATTTCTGAAGTACCTTTGTATGATGCTGTACAACTATGGGCAAATATTTTAGAGGTACATTTACATGTACATGTATGTAACTGATTTGGTAGTGTAGAATAGTTTGCTTTTCATGGAAATTTTTATGAGGATCAAATTTTGATACAGTGTAGATATGTAGTATGTAATAAGATAGATTTGTAGTATTGATGTTACGTTGATGCTAGAGTTGAATTTGATTCGACTATAGCATAAAGCAAACATACATGTATATGCATCAAAAGGTCTAATCATCCATGCTTTTTATTAAAAAGTGATGGTACTGTTGGCCTAGTGTCATGTTGTAAACCCACCTTAATTTTCACAAAGAGCCAAAATTAAAATGAAAATGAGTACAATTTTTTTGCATTACAATTGTATTCCCTATTACTTTTAGTTATTAGTACAAGATTTATGTAGCAAGCATGGATTAGATGCTCAAGTTTATTTTACTGAATATGGGGATTCTGCAGAGAATGACGACAAAGTTACTTCATTGTTAAATCTTAATAAAGAACGCACACCTGGAGTTGGTATGGAAGATCCTTTGTGTGACAATGAAGACATTGGTATTGATAAAGAAACATTAAAAATTAGAATAGTTGATATTGAGTCAAGAATAGCCAAAGCTTGTGATGATGAAAACTTTGATGTTGCAGGTATGTGTATGTACAATGTATGCATGTACATGTACTTGTATGTTGTATTTGTTTGGCTCAATTTTACCTTTGATTAATTATTATAGCTGAGCTTGATGAAGAGTTGACAGCTTTAAAATCTGAATTACTCGAACTTAAGTAGCACAGAAGTCATTATTAATTTTTAAGAATTTGTTATAGTGAAAATTGTTTCTATTTCATCCAATACATTATTTCAACCAATGTTTTGTAGTTTTAAAATAATATTAATTAATAATAACAAGAGTCTGTAATTATTTTCTATTTTTTTGAGAAGGTCCAGTGGTAGTGGATGACATATATCCTTCAGGATTCAAAAGAGAACGGGGTTGTAGTGTACACGAGGAAGGGTTAGCATATGTAATGATATCATGGGTGCAAGGTATCAGTTGCTGGGCTCTAATTTTATCAAACCATCCATAGTCAAAATTAAACTTTTCTCTGCTGGAATCGGACTCACAATCTTGGTCACTGACACTTGATATCGGTGGCAGATGTGCTTCTCTTGATTTTCTGTTATATTCTTGGACTTCCTGTATTGAGATGTGGTTAGGTATATATGCCATGTACCGTTGTCCACATTTGCCGTGTAGCCATGTACTGAGAGTAGAGTCATAGCTAAGGTGAGATTGCCTTTGTGCTGTTCGGCGGGCACTGTTTGCATCATAATCTTTACTCCTTTCTTTGACAATGTAATGCTTTTGTAGATTCCATTGACAGAAATTTAGCGAATCCTCACATCTTTTATGCCCATATTTTCTAGCTAAATCAAATGCTGACATTCCTTTATTGTCTTTTAATCTGACATCAGCCCCTTTGTCAAGGAGAACACACAAAACTTTCCAGTTACCTGTTCTTGCAGCAGCGTGAAGAGCTGTACGGCCAGTAGGACTTTTTGCATTTATTGGGGCTTTTGTGCAATCGAGTAAACTTATAACTAAGTGATGATGCCCATGATGTGATGCAATATATAGCGAAACCCAAGCACGGTGTTTGCACCATGTATCAGACCCAGTGATATCTTTTACTTGACTACAAAGCCCATGAGTACCTGTGTACGAATAATAGAGAATGTCTTCCCACAATTTCCACGGTCGAAGAACAATGGCACTTCCTTTTATTATAAAGTTGCCATGCAGTGTGGTGTCATCAAGTAATGGGCAAGCATCCAAGTATGTCAGAGTGTACATTTCTGATAAAATTCCTACATCTTGCTCAATAATGGACTTCAGGGACTTAATTGTTGTTCTTGCAGATACTCTATTCAAAGTCACGCTTTTTACAGGAAAATCCAATCTAATATGAAGAGACAGCGAAAAAGGAGATTGAGAGAAGGATGTCCTCAAAGATTTGCGTACCTGAGACATTTTTGCTTAGCAGCTCCACCCTTTCTTCAAGCCTGCATGACCTCACCCATTAAATTATGCACGTGAGCTTTCTATGGTCACTCTCAGTCACATCACGATGCCTGAAGGAGGTCATTCTTAAAAGCCTTGCAGCATGGATACAAGTTTTGGGGCAAACGAAACCTCTTTTACTCCGTTTGTTCTACTCCCTGTTGTGTTATCCAGCGTCTGGATACTCTGGGACCTTTTCTACGCCTCTTACCTCCTTGCATTTCTTGTACAATGCATAGTGAACCTTTACTTGAAAGATACTAAGATATATATTGGTATGCTGTATTATAATATTAGCACAATCATTAGAAGAATTTTGTTTGATTTTTTTAGGTCAGTTGAGGTTAAACCTTGTTACTGGACGTCTGATTTTTAAAGAGATTGAGATATACAGAAGAGATGACAGCATACGGTATGCTATTGCTAATGTATATATATTTGTTACAATAGCTCTAATAAACTTTCTACAGTGTTGCTGATGGGTATGGTGTATTGAGGTGGTGGGCAAAGCCAAATCCTACAGGTGAGGATGATTGTTTAGATTCCTGTGGGTAGTGATGTGGAGTAAGCAATTGTAAATTTTAAGTGTACAGTTCATTGTATAATAGCAAGAGTAGATAATAATTAGAGGAAAGTGTCCTACCGGCTATATGGTTTGCTTCATCACCGCATAGAAATGGAAAGTCACATTCCAATTACTTCTGTCTTTTATTTGAGTAGCTATATTTATTGCTAGTTATTTTCGAATAACTATATATATACAGTATACTCAAAAAATACAGAAATAACGGGAATGTAACTTTCCATTTCTATGTAGTGATGAAGCAGGTGGTATAGTGCACAGCGGGGTACTCTCCTCTAATTGTTATCTACTCTTGATAATGGTTATTACTTATGACTATGTGAGATTATAAATTTTTTTCTTATGTTAGTAAACAGTGCATGACATTTTAGTTTACAGTTGGTTGTGTTTACCCATACTTAGTAAAGTACTTTGGTCATGTTAAGCACGTATATGTTATTCCACCATCAGTAAGGCAGTTACCACTGTTATTGTGTTAAAGCTTTAATATTTCAATATGAAAGAAGTTTTATCTCAAAAGGTTGTATCTCAAAATACATGACAAAAGCTTTGTAGTTTGTTCGCTGTACATGCATCTTGTTTTGTGAATGTGTACATTTACATGCATATTTTTGGTGTGTTGCACATTAGTATAAATGAACAGTGTTCATGTAATTATGCATAAAGTTTTTTGTGAGAGTAATAAAACATGGAAGTCACTAAATTCAGCAGGTGAATGGTGTAATACTATGCTTGAAAGACTCAAGACCACTTATAAAATCCTCTACAAAATGTTAAAACACATGTATGTAGCTCTGGCCTTCCTTTGTGTCGGTTCACCACTCTGTAATTTTCTTTTATACCGTACAGCAGGAAATTTTAGAGGAAGTTAAATTGGGCAAATTGCTAAATTTTGTGATTGAATTTTAATTTGGCAAATTTGTGGCCATGTGCCATTGAGCATATGCATATTGGCTCAAAATGGCTGATTTTATTTATGGTGAATACTAATAAAATTCCAATTTTGCCAAGTTTAACTTGCTCCAAAATTTCTAGCTATATGGTGTAAAGTACTTGTAAATGTGTCCTGTTGGCAATATGACCAGTTGGCAGAATTTTAAGTATATTCAATGTGATACTGCAAATAAAGTAAGTTGTAATGGTTATTTATGGAGCGATTGTGAGAAGAGATTATTGTCTGAGCCACGCATAGGCGTTAGCCGTGAAGCGAGGGAAACAGTCGTCCTGTCTGTGTGTTCACTTGTTTTTCAAAAACTGCTGTATTTAGAGTAGTAGTAAAAGTAGAAATGAAGCTAAACCAGAAATGAAAAGAAACCAGAACAAGAACGAAATTAGGGGACTCCTATCATATGCAGAACTCCAGCATGACTAGGATACACTCTAAGATAAAAACTAAACCCTAAACCCAACCTTGGTCTGGGGACTCCTAACATAACTAGGGGACTCTTAATGACATTGAAGATTTCTGTTTTTTTGTTTATGTCTTTGTTTCATTTCTACTTTTACCCCATGTATATTTGTAATATGCATGTGTACATGTAACTGTTCATTGACTTCATTCTTTAATTGGACATGTATTTCGTGATAGTAGCTAGTATATTATTATAGTATTTACTTGTTTTATGTAGCTTACTAGCTTGTCTCTGAACGGCTTGATGTTTTCTGCTCTAGTTATAGAATCTTAAGTAGGCTATTTTTAGCACAAGCTTGCAATTGTTGAGTGCATGTGTAACTCTAGAATGATTCGTTAAATCAGGTCAAGCCTGAGTGAGTGCTATTAGTTTAAAAATGCAAACATGTACATACATGTATGTCTTTGTGATCAGTGGTTGCGATGATACTGCAGTCAAGAAGCATCACAATATGGCTAATTTATTTTCAAAATTGTATTGTTTTATTTTAACTTGTTTAAGTTTGAATTGAGGCTACCTTGGAGAGCCTTTGTGGAGATGTTTTTTGAAATGAGTTGATAAGACTCTGTCTAAAAATTTGCTTTGTGAGTAAAAGAAAATCCACATGAGTTTTAAGAATAATTATGATATAAATATTATATGGAATTATTTTGTGTACATGCATGTATGAACAGTTTCAGAATTTTTGATGGTCATGGACCCATGGCATTAGATTTAATTTATTGTACCACTTCTTGTTCTTATTGCTGCGTTATACTTTGCATGTACAGTATTGTGCATGTACTATACTTTATTTTGTCTCATGTTAGATAATGAGGCTCGTTGTGAGCAATGCTCTTTTCAAAGCCATGCTTGTGCCAATAAGAAGACATCACTTGTGTACTTGCATCTTAATGGCTTTGAGTATCACTGGTATCACAGGTACACATGTACATGTACTTGTAAACATTTTTATTAATGTAGCCATTGAGTACCGTATACCTTAAAATTTTTGAATGTTTAAAATTTTGTGTTTTCAGTGAAATGAGCTCAAAAGTTATTATTGGTGTGAGGCTTTTTTTTTGTGTTCTGGCCACAGTCTTCATACAATAGAATGGCATTAGAGGTGGTTTAAATTTCATGAATTTAAGCGAAAATAACAAAATTTAATGCACCTCGAAAATTAAGATGCATATAGTACTTGTTATTCAAGATGTGTACATACGCATGTACAATGTACATGTACATGTGTTTGAAAATAACCTTTAAAAGCTGTTTTTGTTCTGTTAGGAGTGATATTTATGATGCCTGGGGTCAGACCAAAATCAATGAATATGGTAAGTTTTGTTAAAAAGTGCAAATGTTGTTATTTTGTTTGTACATGTAGATTCAGATGGACCTGCTGGCAGTGCATGGTTGATTGGAGTTCAACCATCTGTACATTGTACTATAAATAAAGGGCAACTTGTTTTTGGTAGTCAGCTTGTTGAGAATAATTTAGTAGTGTGTTTTACTCGGGCAGAAGGACAGTATGCTGTGACACAGGTACATGCATACTCAGATTTAATATTGTATTAGTATGAATGATTATTTGTTACCATTTTATTACTACATCATTGTGTTGAAAATTTTAGTTTTTATCACTCTAAAAGTACAGTACATGTAGTTCATCCAACTTACATGTAGATTTTGTTCATTAAATAAGTAAAAAGAAAGTTCCAAGAAAGTGCCAGATTACTTCAGCAGTGTAATACTAACTTGATTTTTGACACTTTACCCCGTGTATCGGGGACTTAATTTTGCTATTAATAATAATAATAATAATAATAATAATAATAATAATAATAATAATAATAATAATAATAATAATAATAATAAGGTCATTCCCTATTGACTCTGCCCCTCGTCCATCTGGCTTCTGTTCTAACCGCCTTAAAGAGGCAGTTTGCTGCCTGTCTCCCTGCAGAGCTCAATTCACCTTGCCGTCTTAGCTCAGTTCGTCGCGCTCCTTGGATCTCAGTTATCCCTCATCTCTGTGGAGCCTCCCTTCTAGCCTGCAGGAAGAAGTCTGGTGGGATCTGTCCCATTGTGGTTGGGGAAGTCCTATGTCGTCCGGTTTCCAAGTGCTTTTCTTCTTATGTTAAGATGCTTCATCAATCCTTTCACCTTATCAGGTAGGATTGGGAATTCCTAATGGGGCTGAAGCTATTGTTCACTCCATCAAGCTTCTCCTTTCGGATTTGTCTGTCTCCCCTAATTCTAAGCTCTGTTTGTCTTTGGATTTTCCAAATTCCAATGCCTTTAAATTAACACCATCAATAGATCTGTCCTCTTCAAGGAAATCCAGTCTCGTATTCCATCTTTCTCCTGATGGCTTGAATGCTGCATTGCTGCTATAGAGATCAGCCCCGCCTTCTCTTTGGTGAATACACCATCCTTAGCTGTTGTAGGGTCTAACAGGGCGATCCTCTTGGCCCCTTGTTTTCTCCATCCTTCTCCTTCCTCTCATTCAAAAGATCAAGGCCAAAGCCCCTGAGTTCCTTCTTCATGGCTGGTACCTTTATGATGGTATCCTTTGTGGCTCACCTACATGTACATGTACTTCTCTGCTGAAGGCACTTGATATCATTGATGAGGTTGGACCCACCCTTGGTCCCTCCCTTAATTGCTCCAAATGTCTTGTTTTTGCTCCACCAGCCTCCTTGTCTTCCTCGGTCCCTCTTCCTGATGACATTCCCTTCACTTCAAATGGCTTTGTTGTTCTGGGCGCTCCTGGGCCTTCCCAACTTTTGTGTTTTTATCATTAAGGCACGAGTATGAAGAAATCTTCTCTGCCATTGAACCACTCTGCCTACTTGAGGATGGTCATTTGGAATATGTCCTCCTTCGTTCCTGAGAGCTGCTGTTCACTCAGCTGCTGCTTTGTACTCTTCTCTCCACAGCTCAGCCTCTACTTTGGAAGAAGTGCTGGGTTATTCTGCTGACTTGTCTTCTTCCTTGGACTCTTGCATCCCCCTCCTTTCTTACCATTCTATTAGACCTGATTGGTCCTTGCACCTGTCACCATTTCACAGAGGTTGCTTTCTGCTGCTATTGACAAGGCTTCCTATTCCGCCTTGTTATTGCAGGCCCTTGATGTCCGCCCCGGGCTCTGGTCTTGTGTTCTTCAATCCTCATTCCGGTGATTGGCTCTCAGTAGTTCCCTCTTGTCAGCTTGGTCTCCATTTTTTTGATAAAGAATTCCAGTCCTGCATTCAGTACTGGTTGGGTTTCTCTTCTGGAAATTCCTCTTCCTGTGCTGTATGCTTCCCCTATTGATCTCTTTGGTGACCACCAAGTGGGCTGTCGTGGGAACCGGGACCTAATCCATTGTCATGATTCCTTTTGCGATGTCCTCTTCTCATCTGCCCAATCAGCTGCCCTTGCTCCTCAGAAGGAGATGTCCTCTTTGATCCCAGGGTTCTGTGCCTTGCCTGCTGATGTATTTCTCCCTCATTGGGATGGTGGTCTGTCAGCAGCCCTGGATGTCACTGTCTTCTCCTCCCTTTAGATGGCCACAGTGGCTGATTCGGCTATTATTCAAGGTTCAGCTCTAGGGGTGGCTGAGGCACGTACATGTAAACTATCTATGCATGCTGCTGCTTGTCATTATGTTGCTTTAAATTTCCTCCCTCTGGCTGTTGAGGTCCTGGGATGCTGAAGCCCTAGCAGTCTCTTATCATCAACTCTATTGGTCATCAGTTAGGCCAGCGTATTAGTCGCAACCCTTCTGTTACCTCTTCCCATCTCTTCCAGCACCTCTCAATCTCATTATGGAGAGGTAACGCTGCTATGTGGGTTGCTCGGCAGCCCTCTCTTTCATCCCACATTGAAGATTCCCTTTAAGGGATTCTTTGTTTCAGTTGTTTTCTTTTGTTGCTATTATTGTTGTTTTTTTTGTTTCCTTTTTGTGTCTTTCTGCCACCATTTGATTAATAATAATAATAATAATAATAATAATAATAATAATAATAATAATAATAGTAATAATAACTGCTGCTAGTCCTCGTTTTTGTGCTCTCTCCCTCTCATCAAGTATCCCTCATGCAGGTGACTGGCTCCTTGCCTTGCCTTCACCCATCTTAGGTTTACATTTTCTTGACTTAGAGTTCAGGACTTGTCTACGGTATTGGCTAGGTATTCCTCTTTAGTTCTAACATTGTCTGTCCTCTCTGCACCAGAGCCTAGCTGTGATTGATCCCCTTGGCAACCATTTGGTGGCATGTGGTGGGAACGGGGACAGGATTCTCAGGCACAACTCTCTTAGGGATGTTCTATTTACTGCTGCCCAAGCTCCATCTCTGTCTCCCCGTTTGGAGGTCCCTTTGATTGTGCCTGGGTCCTTTTCTCATCCTGCTGACCTTTACATGCCTAATTGGTCTCAAGGCAAACCAGCAGCTATGGATGTAACCGTCATCTCCTCCCTTCAGCCTCAGAGGGTCTCCCAGGCTGCTATTTCTTGAGGTTCAGCCTTAATATATGCAGAGGAATGCAAAAATATTGTTCACTTTGAGGACTGCAAGCGAGTGGGGATCTCCTTCTTGCCTCTTGCTGTTGAGGTGTTGGGTGGCTGGAGTCTCAGTGCTACCATTGGGACTATTGGAAATTATCTGGCTTCCTGTCGAAGTACTGCTCCAGGGTTGATCACTCAGCACCTTTTCCAGAAGCTTTTGGTAGTGCTTTGGCGAGCCAATGCTTTGTAGATCTCTCTTCCCCCCTGACGTGAATGGGTCTATTTAACTTTTTGTTCATTTCCTTTTGTTTTGCTTTCGGGTTTTCCCTCTCCTTTCTCTATATTTTTTCTCCTCTTTTTGCTTTCTGATATGTAATGATAACAATAATAATTAATAATAATAGTAATAATAATAATAATAATAGTAATAGTAATATTAATAGTAATAATAATAATAATAATAATAATTGCCGCTTTTTATCATATTGTTTTTTATCATTATTATTTGTATCTTTTCTTTTTTCTTTTCCTTCTCTGTTCTCTCTTTCCTATCTTCCTCCTTTTCCTGTTGGACTGCTAATTTATTATTATTATTTATTATTTTATGATTGTAATTTTTTAAATTCATTGAAATAATAATTTCTGAATAACATGTATCTACATGTACAATGTATGTGCATGAACATGCATTTATGTGAATCTTAATTTATGAATGTGAATGTACATCTAAATGCATGAATGGAATTTTGCCTGTGGCAAGGTTGCTGTCATTGTACGTATGCATGTATTTACTGATTTTACATAAATGTTTCATAGGCTTCTAATCCTTATGATGAACTGATGCACCTTGTAAAGTTTCATGGCGATAATGTTACAGCTTTCCTTCAACCTGTAAATGCATACAATAATAGGTTTGTGTTTCTTATTATTGTGATTCTGGTATTTACACATAAATTGTATTTCGTATATACAATGTACCTTTTAATATTATAGGATTAGTACCAGCAAGTTTGAATTATTTGATGTTGATGATGGATTCAATGTTTTAAAAACTGATTTTGTGGAGTGTGTCTACTCCCTAGATATTCCAGGTTAATTAATCATTGTTTTGCAATCTAAAAAGTGATTTGTATTTGATAAATGTGTATGTAGGTCTTGTACCCATTGATGATACCACATCTCCTAAATATTCTTTTGATATTCAACTTGGTACTAACACTTATGGAAAATATGGTACTTATGTGAATAATCAAAGGTAATTTCTGGTGGCGTTAGGTTTTTTTCTGGTTTTTTAATATTGTAGTTACTTAACTTCTTGTTTTGAATTGTTTTGATTAGAGTAATTCTTCAGAAGCATTTTTTCCCAAATGATTACACTGTTAGTCAGGTTGACAGACCTCGTCAACCTGGAGAAAGAAGGTAATTAAAAATAGTTGTTTGTATCTTTTACAAAACACCATGCCATTCTACTCATAATTGTTACCTTCTAATTAGTCATCATCAACTGAAAAATGTCTATGGATGAATGTAATGCATTTTTTGGCTTAATTGTAATGAAGTATTTTGCAAGTATAGTATATAGTACATTATGTATTTGCGTTTCAGTTGAGTTTGGAAAGTTTTAATTATCAAAGTTCCACATGTATCCCTGGCTCCCTGCCCACACACACAAGTAGTATTGCTGAAGTAAGCTCTATTCTTTCTCTCTAACTCCCTGTTTGGTTGCTGTTAAAATCAATCTTAAAGTGTAAGATTGCAGAGGAACTTTTTAAGGAAAAAAGTATTACAATGGATCATGTTTAGCATTTTAGCAATTTAAGTTTTATGAAAATAGCAGACTGAGGTTGCTTTTTGTAGTTGAATCTTGAAGTGCTCCTACTTGTCTTTAGATGTATTATTCTTTTAGTCTTGACTGCATTTTTTGATTTTTAAGTAATTAACACATGTTTTTAATTACAAATAATGTTGTTGGTTCTTTTTGATGATTATTGAAAAAACTTGTTGAGAAATTCTTTTTAGACCTCGAAATTTCAGAAACTTGTGTGGGAGATGTGAAAAAACCCTTTTGAACTATATATATATCAAGTTTTCTTTCACCTGCCACACTCATTTGAAACCGACCAAAATTAAGTTGATGTCTGTGTTATAAGAATAAAGTTCAAAGTAACCTCATATTTAATAAGTGTTGTAGAGGTCCCGCAAATTGGCCAGTTTCATAGCACAGAAAACCCACCATCATGAATTATCATGCAGATGCTAAACATGGTTACATATAAAAAAGAAGAGTACATGCATGTACATGTATGTGCCCCAATAATGTGAATAGTCATAGGATATACAGGTACATGTAGATACTGATTAGGGACATAGGCACTGTTAATAATTGATTTTTCTGGCCCACAAACACAAACTACTTTATTTTGTGTTGTATCTCATAATATTTACATGACTCTTGTTAATGGTCAGTTATTGTACACCATACCGTATACCGGGAAATTTTCGTGGCGCTAAATTTTCGCGAATTTCACAAATTTTGCTGTCTCGCAAAATCATTTTTGTGAAAATTTATTACACTTAATTGTGTGGGTGTGGCTTACCTTGTGCACGCCCTATAAGTAGTCTCGTGGGGCCAGACTCAATTTTTAGAATAGAGTCTGGTTTCATGCCTAACATCAACTTGTTCTTGTCTGGCGGAATTTGGTCAACCGAATCAGATCACTGTTACCATGGTTATGTTAGAATCCGCCCACACACGGCAAGTCTGCTATCAAGAATGGAACTGAGTGAGCTATTATACTTTCTTTCTATGACTACAACTGCCGACTGGATTGCCTTTATCTGCTCTGATGGCTAGACAATTAGGCAAGTAAAGAAAGGCTTCAAGGAATAACGTGCTTGGATCCGAGATGAATTCAGCCACCATGATTGCTCCAACTTTAGTACTACCGAAAAAAGCCAAAAATGAGAAGTACTTGACTGCTTTATTTTTCTTGATATCAGGAAGCAAGTATGAAGTATAAAATAAGTATACAAAAATTGAAGTGACCAAGTTGGTTAATGATAATAGAGTTAGACCATTGCTACTTGGTAATGAGTTGGATAATCAAGTCAAGGCTTACATTTTAGCACTACAAGACAAGGGAGGTGTGATAAACACGGCCATTGTGAAGTCATGTGCAATTGGGATAGTAATGAAAACAGGCATCAGGTTATTGAAATGTAATGGTGGTCACATTGACATTACTAAGAATTGGGCTTTAAGTTTTTTGGATCGTTTAGGTTTTGTGAAGCGCAGAGCTAGCACTAAGGCTAAGGTGTCAGTGGAGCATTTTGAGGAATTGAAAGCACATGCAGTTTCTTTTTGACATCAACGTCATAGTGGAGATGGAAGGTGTACCACCAGATCTAGTGATTAACTGGGACTACACGGGGCTAAATTATGTACCTGTATCAAGCTGGACTATGCCGCAGAAGGTGCTTCTAGAGTGGAAATTACATGAGTCGGTGACAAACGTCAGATCACAACAGTATTTGCTTGGACATTGGGTGGTTCATTTCTTCCTCCTCAAATCATTTACAAAGGAAAGACACAAAAATGCTTACCTATATTTCATTTCCCTGATTTGTGGCATATAACGTATACACCCAACCATTGGGCCAATGAGAAAACAACTGAAAACTACATTGAAAAGATTCTCCTACCGTATGTCACAAAGGAACAGAAAGAATTGAGTGTTAAATCAGCAATTGTGATTTTTGATAGATTAA